GGGGGACGTGGTACTGTTTTGTCCGATGGGACCATTCGCATTTAATGTTGGACCAAAGCAGTGCCAATGTGTACAGGAATACAGAAAACGAACCAAATATATATATATATATATATATATATAATTATTTATGATTCGCATAGAACTGATAATAGGTTAGCTTTTTTTTTTTTGTTTCGGCAGAGGCAATTTCGGTTGTGAAAAAGAGAGTCTCTGAGCCATACAGAAGGTATAGCCCTCATGGATTGGCGACAGTCACAGTGCATGCGGATTCTGAAAAAGAACACAAATTATTTCATAATTTCTTTTTACCTGTTTCAACTCCATATTCTGTTAAAGTAACGACTGATTTGGACAATATCCACGTACAAAAAAAAAGCACACACGACATCCTTAAATCTGGTATCAAAAACGAAAAAAAAAACTTCATATTATATATATATATATATATCCTTGCAAATCGGTTACTCAAAATCTTTAGAGTATCCAAAACCGATGAGTTATATATATTAAAACTCGAATTTGAACCCTAGTTTTCGGATATCCAAATTATATTACCTATAAGATAATTTCCGTACGGATATTCAAATATAGATTTTAAATATATTTTGCTTAAAACTTTTAAAAATGAGAAATTGTTTACAAATAATTTATAAAATTATTGTAAAATATTTACATCCAAAATAACTAGATTATAAAATGATATTTGTTTATCTAAATAAAGGAAAAACAATTTTAATATTGATAGTTTATAATTTTTTTTACTAATTATAAAATATATTATTATTTTTCTGTTATTCGGAAAACCTATAGATATATATTATCCGAGCTGAAAACATTAACTCAAATCTGAATCCGAATTTTCGGGTTTTAGACATCAAAACCTGATCTCTATTTTATTGCAAAATGTGTATTCTTTTTTAATATCCGATTCTCGAATGCAGAGGATATATGATTTTGGGGTATTTTTTTTGTCACCTTTAGATACAAGTGTGAAATGAATACGTGCTCCTACTGCTGCTTCAAATATTTATCTAGATATATTTGATATGGAGTCATATGTAATGCGTTGTATCCGGAACCCTAGCATGGTATATGAGTAATTATGCATGTGTAAATTAATGGCAAGTGGGTGAACGACACGTGTCGACATAGTGCTAAAAACTAATATTAAATTTTCGCAAGTTTAGTAAAAATCAGGAGATTGGTAAGATTTCACCACGAGCGAATGGAATATCAAATGTCTTAATCAGACACATGATATTTGTATGTATTTTTGTTTTTCAATGAGATAATTAGTAATTATGCATATGTAAATATATATTTTTGTTGGTCTCTGTATTATATATATATATATATATATATATATCGATTAACAAGCGATAAAATTATTTTAAAGTATTGATACATTTAACACGGATTGCGATGATACAGTAAAATATATACAAACATACTGGTTATAATTGGGACTAAATCCAAGTGGCTTTATAAAAAAAAAAAAAAAGCCAAGTGAAGGGATTTTCTTCTCGGAATCCCAACCTAAATCCTCCACTTGATACCTTTTTTCCAAATCTTCTCTTGTTTCCCTTTCATCAATTCCAACATACATATATATTTCTCTCTCTCTATTATATATATATATATATAATGTATGTCTACGTACGTTTATATGAATATGGTATGTTTTTGTACTGATCCACAGTACATGGAATCCAATCTCTAATTACATTGATTCAGATAAATGAACGCCCCAATTTGGAATTATGAAATGCAAACCATTGATTACTCTGTTTTATCACTATGCCATATATACACACAAATATATATATATATATATATAAAAAAAAAAATTGGGGTGTAAATGAAATGATATTATTATTTAGATAATATTCCCCCAACGTATTAAACTTTACCGGCATTTTGTATTTACGTATTGGATTTAATGAAGGCAAATGGGAGGAAAAGGACAGGCATGCAATTTTAAGGCAGACCAAGAGGACACTGGAAACTTCACCCCCCACATCTCTTTTTTTTTTTAGAGAGAGAAAGAGGCTGTGCTCCTAGAGAGAGAAAACCCAGACGAAGAGAATATATATTTCAAATCACTACGGCAATTGCAAAAAAAAAAAAAAAAAGAGTAAAGGCGCACACGAGAAAACCAGATCTTTTCCTCTTCGTCTACTTCTTCCGTCTCTGTTGCATGAAGAACGCTTGCCTCCGCGGGTAGAATCTCCACGCTACTTTCCCGGGAGAATCGGATTCCGCTCGAGAGGGGGATTCTGTTTTTATTTTTCGGAAATCCTGGAAGCTTCGATCCTGATCGGAGAGATCATGCCTCGTTGAGGTAAAAAATCAGAGCTAGATTTATGTTCCCTTTTTTCTTTCGCTGGTGATATTTGTCGGTGGAGTTCGCGGTTCACTGTAATCGGAGCGTCAGAGCGGTTTCACGTTGAGATCTGTACAATTCTGAACCGGCATTGCTAAGATTCTGTGCGGTTCTTAGGTTTTCGTTTTTTGATTGGACCACTGACTGAGCGAGTGGGATAGGGAAGATGAACGATGGGATTTAGATGTTCTGATCTGTATTTATTTAACGGTTTCGCAGTTCACTCATTGAAGTTTCGAGAGAGCATTAATGGCGAGCAAAATTAAATTAATGCGTCTTCATTGAATTCGACATTTTTCGTATGTTCATCTTTTTAACTGAAAGAAATTTTCGGGGGGAGAAACGAGCGTGGCTGATTTAACGCTGGAAAAAAAAATCAACTGAATGAGCAGATCTGGAGTGTTTTTCGAGTTTTTGCAAATTATTGCTACGAAGTTCGTGTTGACATAATTTGGTTGGGGAGAAATTTTCAGGAGCTCAGAAAATTAGGGCCAAATTTCTTCTTTGTTAAGGTCTGGTGATAATGGCGGAGGCCAATTCCTTGTGGATGCTGCTTTAGTTTTCATGTTCACGGGGAATCTCCACAATGAAGTTTATGGATGAGTAAAGGGTAGTTAATGCTATCACAAGAAGATCGCGTTGATCCTTAATTTCATGTTTCTTAGAAAACCCAGGTCGATTTGATGATTGGTTTCTGATTCAGTCTCTCTGTACCTAGGGGGTTATCTTAGAGAACAACAATGACTGTGGCTTCTGTTACTGCAGGTCTGCTTGACTCTTTGGTGCTGGATCGCGGCTTCAATTTGCTGGGCAAATGATCGACATGCATTTCTATTGAATCCGCCAATCTTCAATCCCCTTCCCCCTTTGAATTGATATGTCAGGTACCTTTGGTTGTTCTTGATTTACCTGTAACGTGTTTAGCTCTGGAGAACCCGTAACAAGGGAGTTCTAGAATTTTTCTTAGCCAAACCAAGTAGATACAGATATGATGCTACATACCCTTGCATCACTTTGTAGGAGTCGAAGAAATCGGAACCTTTGATGAGATTAGAGAGAGAAAGTCAGACTTTGAAATCTCAGAAGACGAAAGAAGGCGCTCGAAAATAGGGAATTTGAGAAAGAAGGCAATAAATGCTTCAAACAAGTTTACTCATTCTTTAAAGAAAAGAGGGAAAAGGAAAATAGACTACCGGATTCCTTCAGTTTCCATTGAGGATGTACGGGACGAAAAAGAGGAAAGTTTTGTACTTGAATTTCGTCGTAAGCTTCTTGAGAGGGATTTGTTGCCTCCTAGACATGATGAGTACCATACTCTTCTGAGGTCAGTTTGTCTTTCCTGAATGCAACCATCTTTCAGATAGATAAATGCCCTGGTTGCTTAACCTTGATGTTCCTGTGCTTTTCTAAGCTAGTCAGGTCGATTGTGATGATAATGAATTTATTGTGAAATGTAGATTTTTGAAAGCTAGGGAGTTTAACATTGAGAAAACCATCCAGATGTGGGAGGAAATGCTTAGATGGAGAAAAGACTATGGGACAGAAACCATACTAGAGGTAAGGGGTCATAGCCTTAAGCTTATCAATCTCTTGTTTGTCATAGTTGCCTTCAGAAGAAGGTTAATTTCTACAATATTCTACTTGGTTTTATGCCTGATTCTGCCATATGAAGAACGTTCTTTATTACTTTATCTTAGGTAATGGAGTTTGTGTCAAGCTTGTATCCACATATTAGACTGGAACCTCTCACGTTCGATCAAATTCTGTGTATTCCAATGGTAGGATTTTAATTTTCAAGAGCTGGAAGAGGTATTGCAGTATTATCCTCAAGGGTATCATGGAGTTGACAAGGAAGGCAGGCCTATCTACATTGAAAGACTTGGCAAAGCTCATCCTACAAAGCTTATGCGTATTACCACCATAGATCGATATCTAAAATACCATGTGCAAGAATTTGAGAGGGCTCTCCTGGAGAAATTCCCTGCATGCTCCATTGCGGCAAAGCGCCGAATCTGTTCCACAACCACAATCCTGGATGTGCAAGGATTGGTAATCCTTTCATGTTCTTATCAAGTTTGGATTATTTTATCACTGATTTAGCGCTTGCAAGCAGAGCTTTACTTTTTTGTGTTCGTATCATATTATTTTGTTGGTTGCTCTGGTGTCCTTCCAGATTCTTTCGTTGAGCAATTTTATGTTAATGGCAGGGGATGAAGAACTTCTCACCTACAGCTGCAAGTCTCTTAGCTGCTATGTCAAAAATAGACAATAACTACTACCCTGAGGTATTTGAGTTTCTCGAAAGTTTTCTCCTTCTTGTTGACATATCAAGCGGCCTTAATCATGTGTATTTATTCATTTATTTATTTTGCAGACCTTGCACAGAATGTACATAGTAAATGCAGGAACTGGTTTCAAGAAGATGCTTTGGCCTGCGGCCCAGAAGTTTCTGGATGCTAGGACAATAGCAAAGATACATGTAGGAATATGGCTTTCAGCATAGTTTTTCTTATAGCCATCGAGCTTTCGCCTTAGCTGGTTTATCATCTTTCCAACTTTGCAGGTGCTAGAGCCCAAAGCTTTGTCCAAGTTACTTGAAGTAATCGATTCAAGGTACTCCTCCTGTTTTCATTTGCCTTGCACTTCAGAAAGATCGGATATTCTGCCTAATTAGTACTTACCAGCTTCTTTGTTCTACACTTTTAGTCAGTTGCCAGACTTCTTAGGAGGGTCATGCACTTGCTTTCCTGAAGGAGGGTGTCTTCGTTCTAACAAAGGACCGTGGAATGATCCTGAAATAGTGAAGGTACATATTCATTTTACTCGGGATCTCTCCCTTTTCTCTACTTAGGAACTTCGAGTAGGATTCAGATTTTAGACTGGACTTGTACATGAAACTTATCATAGGTCTTTGCCTTCATAGCTCATCCACAATGGAGCAGCAACCCTTGTACGGCAAGTCACCAGAACGCTAAGTGACCCACAGAATTCATCCTCTTACCTTAGTATACATCCATCAAAGGTATAAGACCTTCGAGCAAATGTCTTGGTCATTTTGTGAACATATCTTTTCTTTATATGACAAATGCTACTGGATTTTAGGTTTCACAAACTGACAGTTCAGGAGCAGAGGGTGTATCTTGTGCTGATGATTCCAGTTCTCTCGGTGGGAGAACGTGCTTGTCCTCTGCTCATTTTATCCCGGTTAATGAGGAAGTGAGTTAGTAGGACTGGTAGCACATATTTATCTTAGGACTGCTCTAAATTCGTTAATTTTGATCAAAAGAACATGATATATGCAGCAGGCTAGGGTATCTGATCCGAATGGATATTACAGTTGTGATGACAAGTTTCCCATGCCTGAAAAGACTGTGAAAACCGGCCGTGAAAGGCAACAATCCCATTTCCAGATGCGTGAATTGGATCAACAAACGGCTCATAGTCTAAAAGATGAAACCTCTCAATCAGGTTGCGTTTTAATGCATTACTTTCTGTTCAACATATTCATCCTGATATAGCATCAAGTTTTTGCCGTTAAATCTTGTCTCTCTCCGTTATCTCAGGTGCCCTAATCGTCCGATGGATTCATAATTTGAAGGAAGCTGTCGACAAGACAAAAGCCGAGAATCTAGCCAAAGGGCTGTTTTCAATTATGCTGAAACTAGTTTCACTTCTCCGATTTATCCGGTTCGAGGTTTCGAGAAAGCAGAACATCGTTGTCACTCCATCAAATTCAACAGAAGAAGACAGGAGAATTCCAATCCAAACTCCTCCAGAGTCCACAATGAAAGATATGATCCTTCCATGTTTGGAGCGGCTTCAGAAACTGGAGAAAGAGTACGAGGATCTCCGGAAAAAACCCACGACAATACCCGTGGATAAGGACAGAATGCTGATGGATTCTCTAGACAGGATCAAGTCCGTTGAGTTTGACCTCGAGAAAACAAAGAGGGTATCGTTCATTGTTTTTTTTTTTGGGCAGATTCGATATCGAAAATCGGTATCTCTGTAACATGTTCTTAAAATTGCGACAGAAGTTAAAAGTGCTCTGTTTTTCTTTTTCCTGCAGGTTTTACAAGAGACGGTAATGAAACAGATCGAGATAACTGAGATGTTGGAAAAACTAAGGGAGTGTCAGCTTCACGTAAGTTCTAAAACAATCTTTTTGGAGGTTCTTTGAAAGATCCTTCTTACATCTTTTTTACGACATCGAGGTTTTTTTTGGTGCAGAGAAGAAGATTCTTGTGCTGAATGGTCAGAGGCGAAGACCGATTTTTGCTAAATCTTGAGGGCTTGAAGCCGCACCTTAATCTTTTTTGGCATTGGTCTTTTTTTTATAACTAATGGTCAAGAGTTTTTATATCCAAAGTTTCTAACAGGTCCACCTGAAAAGGAAAGATGGCCGGAGTGACGACAACCTCCGTTGTAATGTAAGAGCCGAAATCAAAACGTAAGTGAAAGAAGCTGATTTCAGACATTCTTCAACGAAAACTACATAATATATAAAATAAATAAATAAAAGATTAGGACCAAGCTGAAGGCAAAGGGGTTCTCTCATCTGATGAGATGTAAATATCAATAAATATATATATATATATATATTAAAACCTTAAACTTGCATTTAAAATATATATAGTTTATGCTATTGAACCGTATATTTCTTTGACACAAATAACATTGTAGTTTATTATGTTTCTGCTGAAAGGGAAAAGTGTAATTACAACTGCGATCGTGACCCGAGAGAGAGAGAGAGAGAGAGAGAGAGAGAATGGATATAATAATGCGACATATGTATGCGGTTTTGGGGTTTGATTGTAACTTGTGTCGTCTAATCAAAGATCGTTTCCTGAATGGACAAATATAGCCCTCGTATTTTGTAGGTAATTTCATCACTCCCTATAAACTCCCAAGGGTATATTCGTAAAGCTACCTATAGACAGTCGTAACGATATGATTAATTATTTGGAACTCAAATGTGATTCGATAATTTCTTTTTAAAAAAAATGGGGAAAACATATGGGACCGTCCCTTTCCCTTTCCCTTCGTACAGTTCCTGATGGCCTGTGAACCAAGATAGATTTCGCTGGTACCTCTCTCTCTCTCTCTCTCTCTCTCTCTCTCGTTCTTCGTCGGGACTCTCTCGCGATCGATCTCCTCGTTTCTCCGAATAAGAACTTCTACCGACTCAAAACTCGAATTAGGAATTAGGATTATATTTCTGAATTTCTCCTGAAATTTTCGATCCGTTTATCGGAAGGGGACAACCCGTTTTGGTTGTTTGGTTTGAAATTGTTTCGCCAGGTGATTCTGCCGATCCTAGGTTTTATCCGCTTTGATCTATTTCTTCTTTCTTCTTGTTCTCGTTTGAGGTTCCTGGGATTTGAATCGTGCTCCAGGTCTAAATTTGATATTGGGCTTGTTAGGGTTTGTTTGTGTTTGCGCATGCGCTGGATTTTGTTGTTCTTTGTTTGCTTTTGTTTTCTGTTTGCTATTATGTTAGCTTTGGTATCTGAACTCTATGTTTCTCGCTCTTGTGTTGTGTTGTGTTGTGGAACTTGATATTCAAATGTCTTAGAATCGGATTTTTTGGTTGCTTGCATATTTTTTGCCTTTTTCGTGTGGTGTATTTACTAAGGAGATTAACGGAACGGATTATGTGAGAGTTCAGATTGGGGTTTTGAATTGTAATTCCCTTTAAGATCTTGTTTCTGACATGTTTTCATATCTGCGGGCATGGACAATGATCTTTGTAATGGAGAGTTGCATGTTTGATGTCTGCTGAGGACTTAGTATGTCCTTTGCTCGTTGGACATTGTTTAAAATCTTCGATATTCGTCTTGACAAAGAATTTTCCGGATGATGTTCTCTGTTGGGAATTGGTTACTGTGCTGTATTCTACTACAGCAGCTTAAGGGTCCCCTGGTTTTAAATGTTCAGCAG